TGAAGCCATTTGGTCCTAGGTCTTTTGATTTATCCATAGAAAAGACCGCTTGTTTTATTTCCTCTTCCTCAAAATCCCTTTCCAGCCATCTCAAGCAATTCTCCTCCAGCCGAGACCAATCTAAATCTCCCAATATCTCTTGGGACAACAGAGGTCTTCTCAAAATTGACTTGAAATGGTCCACAAAAATCCTTGCTATCTCTTCTTGAGAATGAATCACTTGTCCATCTATCTATAATTTAGCGACAATTTTTCCTCCTCCCATTAGCTACTACATGAAAATATTTGATGTTTCCATCACCTTCCTTAATCCACTTATGCATAGAGGACTTCTTTCAACTTCTTCAGCTTCCACCTCAACCCACTCTCCTACTCATTCATGGTTGTTTGGGATTCATACTCGTCTAATTCCTCAATGTGGGAACCCACTTTCTTTTCCCCTTCAAGAAAGAGAGGTAGAACTTTATGGAGGTGCACTAGAGCAATTACAGTTTGGTCCATTTGGGAGGAGAGGAATTCTAGGATCTTCTTGGATAAGTCAAGGCATAAAGAGGAGGTTTTGGAGAACATCTTGGTGAAATAATGTCACTAGGCTCAGATTATAAAACTATTTGAATCCTTTTTCATGGAGGATAGGGCACTACAATGGTACCCACCTCACTTTGATGGCAGCAAACTAAACTCCCACATCCCAATAAGCAAACCAATAACAACCTGCAAATCCCCCATCATCTCAACTCTCACATCCCAATAAGCACATCAGGCTCAAATCCCAACGAAGAGCCAAGATCCCAGCCCTATCATAGTGTCGACCAAACCAAAAAAGACAACCAGAACCTCACCTCTGCTCTCTAAAAACACTTCTTACCTAGGGGTGCAAGTCAGGCTGGGTTGAGATCAACATGAACTTTTTCGGGTTGGCCCAACTTTTTCTACTTACTTTTTCCAAATATTCTTATTTCCTAGACTCAAGGATTGAGGTCAATTCAGTTTTAATATTATTATAAAGGACATAGTTATCATGCTTTAGAAAAATTTTTCCTTTTAAACTTAAAATTGTTTACATACATACATACATATATACACAAGTACTACTTGCATAATAAATACATAAGGGCAGTCCAGTGCATAAGGCTCCTGCCAATGCCGAGTCTGGGAAGGGTCAAATGTACACAGCCTTACCCCTGCACATATAGAGAGGCTTTTCCAACCATACATAAATATAATATTTATACATAAAAATATGAAGTCCGGTTTGGGTTGGCCAAGGTTTCAACCCTAGCCCAACCCAAAGTTAAATCAGGTCATATTTTTCAACCATTACATTTTGGGTCGTGTTCAAGGCTAACCTGGCCCAAGTTGCAGCCCTATGCTTATGGCTTACCTGATGGTCCTAGATTCTGATTCCAACAAGTGCACCATTGCTCCAGAGGGGGTGAACAATATTGTGGAAAGTCTTTTTGTACAGCCCTTTGTAAGTTTCTCAGTATACTTGGGTTGACATATATCTTGGAAAGTATATTTCAATACAATAAAGTACTTTACTTTCTTTGGGAAAAAAAAGTCGTGTGAATAGAATATAAAACAAACTGGAACACAAAGAATTACTACAACTATGCCAGTGGTTAACCAATTATGATTTTTTTTCTTCAGACAAGTATCAAATTTACTGCATCGACTTAAATTAAAAAATGCTCTTAATCTTAAGGTGATTGATTTTCTTCCTTTGTTCATGCAGAATGACTCATCCTGGTCAAGGTCTTCCTTCAGTGCTTGTCCAAGATATGTTTGAAGGAGGAACTCAGTGGTCTTCACTGGAAGGCCTTGGGTTAAGCATGTCTAGGAAGCTTCTCAAGTTGATGAATGGTCATGTCCATTATGTTAGGGAGCCCAGAAAAAGTTACTTCCTCATTGATACTGAATTTCAAACCAAAAAGAGATCCTAGGCGTTGCAGTTAAATGTGAGCAGGCTGACCTTTTTTTTCCCTCCAAAACAGTTTTTCCTACATGAATGAATTCAACCTGATTAACTTTTGCATATCACATCTATTTGATCCATCATTTCAAAGGGCCTGACCATAGCTCCATGCAGTCTTACCAGTGTTCAGTTACTTGTTACCAAATATTTCCATTATATTCATCTTCCTCAATGAAACTATATTGTTCAGGTTCTTGCTGTCGATAGTTGCATCATGTAGAGGCTTTCCCTTGCCACCTCACCAGGTCCTGATTGTATACTTCGAGCATTGTTGTGGATCACTTTGTAAAGGGACAAAATATTGGATTCATTGAGTGAAGATATTTGTTGCTAATGGCCTTGTAATTTTCAATGAGTTCACTTGTAAACCTATTGTATCTTCTCACTCTTGTAATTTTCAGTGAGTTTGACTTGTAAAATTTATTGTATCCTTTCACCATGTTTATAGAGAAGCCAAATTATAATGTTGTATTAATGCTTCTTGGTAGAAACTATAAGCTTCAGGTTTGATGCCACTGAAAAACTACTGAGGATGCCGTGAAAAAATTAGTAACTATTGTAACAGGACAGAGTTAATACTTGATACAGGAAGAAATGCTTTCAGTAAACAGTAACAGAGACTGTGTGCCAATGTCCAGCTCAAAACATACTGTCATACTCTTTTCCACCAACTTAATTTGGTGTCTAAATCAAAAAAGTGAGACAATGGCACACATTTCTAAGATCAACATTCTTTTTTTTTCATAAAATCTCAATGGCCTAGGTATGGTATGCCACATGAATGGGGTAATGGAAATTTAGATGCTGAGTATTTGAAAGTGTAGGCTGAGAATTTATCTTGGTACATCAGCTGAGGGTCTGCAGCATCAACCTAGATGAATAGTTGTTATATGCTGAAACACTATTAAATGGCCTATGGGGCTATACCCAAAGTTAAGCCTTGGTATGTCACTTGGGCAGCCTAGATCAAGTATTAGATTTCAATACATCAATTAGACGGTTGAGATCAAAAGTTGCATTTGGCACACTTATGAGTCAGGTCACTAACTGAAACCTTGGTAGGACACTTAGCTTGATAAAAAACTGAAGAAAATGGTTGTTGATGATGAACTTTACAACTTGAAGTGATTTGTTAGAAGGATGGCTTCTACTAGCTCGATAGTATTTCCACTAGGTTTTCCAAAGAACTCATCTGCATTTACTTACCCAACAAGGTCTCAGGAAGGGGAGTTCTTTCTGATGCTGTCATGGAGATGGATGTATATGAAGTTGAACCGAATTTCTTCCAACTACGGCCGGTGGTGGTGAGGAGATGAAGGAACACTACTATTTCTCGTACAGGTCAAGGAAATCAAATAATGGATTACGATGGAATCAGATACTGAAAAGTCCACAAGGCCAAGGAGGGTATTGGAAGGCAACCATGGGAAATCAAAAGATTTTAATGAAGGCGTTTGTGTTCTATTGATACAACATTGAGAAAAAAACAGCAGATATGTAACTAAGATGGACATGAACATGCATGAATAATGCCTTGTCAATGGTTGCCAAACATCAAGATTTGAATATTGGGTGCTATGTGGAATCACCAAACACACAAATCACCCTGAGAAAGCAGATGCTGAAGTCCAAGATGGTTATCAGAGTTCCTTGGAAATCCATGACAAACAGACCGATCTGTTTCAATTTATTAATATATTAATATAATATAAAACACGCTTATTACGAGCCTATTATCACCCCTAGTGGGAAGACTTTCAGACTTGAACAATCTATCCAAACCTGACCAATTCCACATAAGCCCATCCTAAATTGTGTTGGGTTAAACTTAGGTAGGGTTTAAGTTGGCAAGCTTGGGCTTTTAACTGCTATTTTTCATTTGGCCCAAGGACCATGTCCAAGGTTGGAGTTGGTATTTAATGAGAAATGAGAGGACTCTCTCTCTCTCTCTCTCTCTCTCTCTCTCTCTCTCTCGCTCTTATATTAAATTTTATATTTTTTTTTAAATTCTATGCATATAATTCATCAAAAAAAAATTCTATGCATATTATTTCATAATTATAAGTTTGTGTAAGCAATTTATATATAAACTATCTTCAGCACAGAGTTTTATATATTGGTTGCAATGATTTAGGCTCTATGTTTAGATAAGCTTTGCTTTAGAGAATAAACAAGAATATGACACAAGTGTTTCTTTCAATTTCAAAAACATAACCTAAAGCCCAATTGCCCAAAAAAAACAAAGTCTAGCATTGGGTTTGGTGCTTTGGGGGGCTTTAAAAACACAAATACAGAAGCTTATGCAAACGAATCCTTACTTCCCATAAGCTGTAAGTGAGCTTTGGAATTTGTAATATTTTGTAAGTTCCCTACCAACCGTATCCATGTGTATTTTAATATTCTGCCATTTCTCAGCATTTCCCAAAAATTGTCTTTCCAATAATGTACCTTGAAATTTGTGTCTCTCTCTTTAAGAAAGGTGATCATATATGCATACATTACAATTGACGAAGGTGATCAGTTTTGGTTCAATTTCGGTTATCAGTTTTTTAAAACTGGTCCTACTCAGTCCAGTTTGGAAATAGGCTCACGGTTCAGTCTATGAGCACCCCTACTCACAACATAATGAAATCTTTTTCAGGTTATTTCTGATTATTTGTGAGAGAACAACCCAAAAAATCTTTATAGAAGAACCCAAAAAAAAAACTTAAAGCATTTGGAGATGTTAATTTCATAGTTCACACTTCACAGTTCACCCAATTGATTAATTTCTAATGAGAAGCTCTTAACCTAAAAACACCCTGGAAGTAGGTACAATTAGGAGTAGCGAGTTACCCATCTCATTCTGCAACCTGTAATCATTTCCAAAGATTCATCCCAATTTTGGTCTAGGAATAGATTTAATTTAAATGTTTAAATCTCCTCTATGATGCTTCAAACGAAACCATTTTTATGATATCATTGTGAAGGTAAAGCATTAGGAAGTGATCGACTCTTTGCTACACGAATACGCCCAAAAAAAAAACATTTAAAATTGTGGTTAGTGGTATGATGCAAAGGGATGATACGGGGCAAAATTGGGTTTTTTAAAATATTTCATCCATACATGATGTTATATACAAAGTTACAAATCGATTTTGACGGATCATTATTGAGGGGAGGTGCTTTTCCAATGATGCTAACCAATAATGGATGGATTAGTCCATTTTGAAAAGAGAAGGGACGTTTAGTATTTAGGAGAAAAATCAAGAGAGGATTAAGGGTCCATATGGTTCACAGTCTGAATCGGAATGGGAATCGGAATTGTTTAGTCCTATAGTCTGTTTGGTTTAGGGATGGGAATTTGAATCAACAAAAATAAGATTTTATTTCCAATGGAGGGGTAGGGAATGACCATTTTCTCAAATGGGGGGATGTCATTTGAGCAGGAATGGGGATGGGACTCCTATTCCATCCAACCAAACAGTTGGAATCAGAAAAACCCATTCCGATTCTGATTCTAGACCCCTATTCCCACGAGCCAAATGGGGCTTAAGTCTTCCACCTTTAATAACATTTGCTGATGTGGTAATTGCTTTTACTTTGAAAACAAAATTAAATTTATTAAACAAACAGCCCCTTAATTTAGAGTTGAGGTATGGTGTATTTTCCCTATATATTATCTGGTTTTTTAACACTTTTTCTTGGGACCATTTGAAAGAATATTGCTATATGATTTTCTCCTAATACTATAATCGTATCCTAGCTCATTATCTCCCGGGTTTCTCTTATACCGACATGTTGCTTCGTCTTTAGACACCAAATTCTTTAATATTTTATACCTGGAATCTTTCTAGGTTTAATTGTTAAAAGCCATTATTGATGCTGGCTTAGTTGGGGATTCCAGCACCCAGATCACATATTTGATATCAGAAGAATCTTTTTCATTAAATTTCTATTTGATTAATCATTTATTAAAACACCTCATATAGTTTCATGCATTTATTAAAACCTACCTTTGCGTTTTATTAAAACACCCTCTATTTTTATTTTCCCATAGAAGGAAGTGAAAAATAACGGTTTTAACTCTAATGTCCATTGGATAAATTTAATCAAAAAGAAGATAAAAAGGTGACAAAGAGACATCACAATGAAGTTACAATTCTAATTGATGTAAGCCAATTGTGGACTGTCAACATGGATCATGAAAAAAAGAAAATTATCATTAATTTAGGGTGCACGTTATTACGCTCTAAATCTATTATTGTTGTTGTTGTCACATCTTCTCCAATCAAGTTTTATTGCGGGGGGAGGGCATTCTTTTTAAAAGCTCAATATAAGGTGTTAGAAATGCTTTTGGAATAAACAAATCACGGGCCCATGTATTTAAACATTTTTCACTTGATTTAGATGTCCACATAATCTTTCCACACAACAATCCAAACAGTTCTTAACGAATAAATCAGTTACAAACTATAAGGGATGTTTTAGTCAAGGTTCAAAGTATTGTTACGTATTGGCCAATACGTATCGTTTCAGGACCCTTCCGATATGCCTCTACAGTGAATGTATCGGGGGTCTGACCGGTTCAGGGGATGGAGGGGTCCTAGACCGGTTCCCCTGAACCAGTTTTGAAAAAATAAAAATAAAAAAAATAATAAAAAAGTAAAAGAACAAGTATCAAAATGCCTGATACGCCCCTACAGTGGGTGTATCGGGGGTCTGACCGGCGTATCGGATGTATCAATATTTTGAACTTTGGTTTTAGTAAATGAGCTTTGATTTTACTGCACTCATTCCCTTTTTATAAACTATGAATATCTGTCGTTAATTTATTGTAATATTGATGTAATGCTCAAGAAAGTCACGTAATTTTAAACCTTAACTGAAAATATGATAAGTTTGACCCAAATTTCTGCTTGATGTTATAAGAGAACAAGCAGAAGGAGAAAGGTCAACGAAGTTGGCTGTCCAATCTGATCAATGCCTTAAAAGTTCAAATCTTCTCGCACTCTGCCTGGTCGGATTGATTAAAGAATGGTTCTAATACCGGAAAGGAGAAGACTTACTGCGTTAAAGGAACCAAAGAGGAAGGATGAAATTTACCAAATCTAATCCAATCCAGTATGATCCGTTGTTGTACGTGGTCAAGTGTGATATGATCGATCCACGTCAATCCTTTGTCATCCAATTAATCCAGTGAAATAACAGTTTATTCTATTCTGTTTCTGCATGTTTCAAACATGTGAACGGTGGCTTCAATGCCAATCCAAGCTAACTCCTTCCACACGTTACTTTTCACGTGGAGAGAGAGGTAGGTTAGTATGGACTGGGATCTTTGAAAATAGGTTCATCCAAAATTAGAGGTGCAATTGTGATGAAAATCTATGATGCAGAAAAGATATGGTATGGAAAATTTTTGACCAATTAAAATCTATTCATAAATTTTGATAAATAACACCTAATTGGTTATCACGTTTATAATTCAAGTTCATT